TCAATATGAATTCATTACTATGTAGTCAGGCAATGGTTATACTAGAGAGTGAATCTTATGAGATTAGTTTAACTGATGCTAGTTCTAGCTTTATAATTTATTTTACCTTTTTTTGGTAGGTTCTACTTTTCGTCGACCCTATGGATGAAGTGGCTATCCAGAATCTGAGCTCCTACAAGGATAAGAAATTTGTTGACATTAGCAAGGAAGATTTGGACTTAGGTATGCGCATACATGTGTTGTGAACCTCTTATTAACTACTAGTAGTACTTAGATGTAGCTGTCTTAATTCTGGCAAGGCTTTTCTTGTTATTACCATCCATATTGATCACCATGGTACATGTATATTAAATGTGATCAATGATGGAAATTTCGTTCTTGTATGCATTACTTGTCTATTTGTTTGAGGACGTATTATTTCTTTGGAACTGAGACAACTAATCTTTTACCCTCGTGATTTAATTATCTTGTTTCTGATTGTTGTGATATCTAAATGTACCAGGTGATAACAATGAGGAAAGAGAGGAGATAAAGCAGGAGTTCAGCCAAACCTGTGACTGGATAAAGAATCGCTTGGGTGACAAGGTTGCACGTGTTGACATATCTAACCGTCTCAGGTCATCGCCATGTGTTCTTGTTGCAGCGAAGTTTGGTTGGTCAGCCAATATGGAAAGGTTAGTGTCTATTGTTAAATGTGAATCTTTGGTGGTTTCTGACAGTTGCTACATAGCTACATAACTTTAAATCTTTGCTGTTTGTTACAGGCTGATGAGAGCACAGTCTATGGGTGATACATCCTCTTTGGATTTCATGCGCTCAAGGAAGGTTTTTGAAATAAACCCAGAGCATGAGATAATCAAGGCCTTGAATGTAAGTTCTCAACCTGCTGTTGTCTCTTTCACTTTGAAATATTTAGGCCGGTAGAAAAGGACTGTATGCTGGCAAACTATAGTCAAAGAGCCCGATCGACTGTGGTTTTTGCTGCAGTGCTGTAGGCTGCTGCTGCAAGATAGTATCAGCTAGCTAGCACAAATAGCAAAAGAGAAACTTCTGGTGATCACTTTGATCAGAGGGAAAGTCAGTGCTAAAAGTAGCGTTATATCTTGATATTTTTTTTTTGTTTACGCAATGTGTTAATTTTATTATTTTTAGGCCACAAGCACTTTTTCTTGTTCTAATGAATTTTTTCCTTGGAATGCAGGCGGCATGCAGGAATAACCCTGATGATCCTGAAGCTCTAAAGGCTCTGGATGTTCTCTTTGAAACTGCTATGATTTCAAGTGGCTTTTCGGTGGGTACAGTTTCATGTTAGCTTTCTGTCTCATAGAGATGTGGTCCATGCTGAACCTTGCTTTTGTTGTGTTTAATTTTGATTTTGAAATATAGAGACAGTAGAGCATAACATGTTCATATAAAATGAAACCAAGATTCAGCATAGGAAATGTTTACGACCTTTGATCTATCAGTAGGATGAGGCAAAAATAAATTATTCACACCTAAAACTACCACTTCCCCGCCTTAGACCTGAAATATGGATTGTTTTTCAAAAAAGAAATTTGAGTGTGTTAAGTTTGCTTATTGCAGTAGTGTTCTTTTGGGGGGCTAAATTAGATATGAACGGTTGTGATCATCAATTATACCAGTACTGGCAGTTTGGCACCTCCTTTGCCCTTTATTTATGTTTCTGTTACCGATTAGAGTACCACATGTTTTTTTGGATTGACTAACAAGAGTCAGTCGCTGCCCCAGCATTATCTTGTGATGTCCTGTATACTACATACATGTCGTTGTCGTTTGTTTTCTTTGATTGTGGTTATGAACTGGAAGGGATATGAGCAACTCAATAATATCTCTAGTTTGTCTTCACTAGTTGTGGAAGTTCTTAATACCTGGTTCTGAATCTGTCACTGCACAGCTACATTTACCTTGTGATTTGCTACATTCCACATCACCTCATTTCTGCCTTGTTGGTGTTGCAGCCTGACAACCCGGCGGAGCTCAGTGGGAAGATCTATGAGATGATGACCTCTGCCATCGCTGGCAAATGGTCTTCACAGTCGCAGGCACAACCTGCCAACCCAATCCCGCAGCACGCCGCACCTGTGATGTCAGATGAGCCGCTTGAAGCTGAAGTGGTCGAGTCAGAGCCCGTTGAGGCTGGTCAGCAGAAGTAAGGGGAATCCCTTGACGCTTGCTCGTGCAGAACCTTTGTAGCTTTGAACCGTTGTGCACATGGCAGAAAATTTTGAGTATTTGTTTTGACGGCCTGTACCTGTATCATGGGCTGTGTCACTGGTAATGTAGACGAATTGGTTAGAATTTAGAAGATTAGGAATAATTAGTGGTTGAATTACTTGAACTGGTACTCGCTATTCACTTGTTCCGTTACCCAGGAGGGTTGTGGTTGGAGTTTGTCCAAACTACTACTGCATCCTTTCTGAACGGAGTCACGGAGGTAGTAGTAATTTTGATGGAACGCCATTCCTTTGATATGAATTTTGATGGCAGTCGCGAGCTGTGCTACTGCTGAGGCTTTGTTTCCTCTGTGCGCTCCGGGGAACTGTAACTAGGGATTGTGTGTTGGAATGAGCCTGTTTTTTCAGTGGAGTCCACCTCCCACTACCTACATCTATTGGACTGTGGCTACCTATTTTTACTCCCTCCCAGCGCCTCTCTTCCCCGATGCGCGACCTCCGTGCGCACGTGCCGCCGCACCCCGCCACTGCTCCCTCGTCGGCCGGACGCATCCCTTTCTCCTCGCGTGGCGCAGGTATCTCTGTACCCGGCGCGCAGAGCTCCCAGGCGCGGGAGGCCTTGCCCCTGCCAGAGGAGCTCCCCGGCGCGCAGAGCTCCCAGCGCGGGGTGCGCGGAGATCCCAGGGGCGGTGGATCTCCCTCGACGGCCCTTCTCTGAACGGCGCTCCCTCGACGGGGCTTCCTCGACGGCGCTCCCACGGCAGCGAATCCCGGCGCGGCGGGCCTCCCAACGACGGATCCTGGCGGGACGCGCCTCCCCACGTCGGATCCCGGTAAGGGCGTGGGCTCCTCTGCTCCGGCCACGGCTGCTCCAGAGAGAACATCAGTGAGGATGACATGTGGGACCCATGTGTCATTCTCTACTAGGACGGAAATGGGTAGCCAGAGTTGAGAGCAAAATTTGCGCAGTATAAAAATAGGTGGCTACAGGTACAGTGTTTTAGGTAGACGGGATGGTTAAACCTTTAGATTATAAGTTATATGTTATAATTTAATATATATATATATATTGTTATTAGAAAAAAAAATTCTTCGAAGTATATGCAAGTTAAGCCTAGTTTTGTTTCTCTCATCGCGTAGAACACGGTGCGGATGGAATAAAAAACGGATACACCTTTTAGAAATTATAGCAATTTAAAATAAATGTATTGTATTTTTTAAGGTGACATCAGCAACATAGAAAAGCGTACAGGGAATGGGAGTGGGTGGTCACCAGATGTGGACGCTGGTGGTCGGGGAGGGAAGTAGCGATCACCGGATGCGGACGCTGGTCGGATCGTTCGGCGTTCGCTGGATTAGTTTTGAGTGAACGCTGACTGGAATGGAATTAAGACTAAAAATGCATGATATGAGCCGGATCAATCTCAATATTATCAATATAATAACACACTGCCCCAGTCCATGAAGGGCCCATGAAGCTCATGTTGCACCTGAACAGGCCGGCCCGGATCGGTACAGCGAGTACCGCGTCGGCGGGTAGTACGAATGAATGTTGCTGGTGGCCACGAAGCTACAAATTCCACGCCTGCGCGCCATGATTGTGTTGTCTGGTGACATGCGGTACACAGGCGCAGAGCACGCGAGCGGCGCAGGGCAACCTGCAGAAGAGACCAGACAGTCGTTGTCGAGGTGGCCTCGCCATGGTTGGCAAAAAAGGACTGCCGGTGTGGCAGCTTGCAGCGCGCGTGTCACTCCCGCGAATGTGAAAGCGTTATCCCACTTTGTTTGAGCCTGCCTGAGATGAAGGAACGCGGTGGTGATGACCCACTTCCACGTGGCATGCGCACACGGCTCCTAGTATTATGTCTTTTGGAAATGCGAGACGACTTTAATTTAACCTACTACAGCATGCAATAGTAATGGAAAATGTGAAGGATATACGCCTGAGATGAAGGAAGGTGGGCGCGGTGCGACGTCACTTACGCATCACTATGACGATGCACATCGATCGATCTCCTTGGTTTCTCCAGAGTCTAGACTCTAGCGTGGCGGCGCTAGGCACAGTAGCCGGCGTGCAGTCTAGGCTAGGGCTGCAACGCGGCGTGCGGCGTCGGTAGCAGAGGGAGACGTGTGACCAATAAGCATCGATCGTTAGGCATGTAGGAGTACTACTGCTACTAGGCACTAACAAGAAGCGACGCCCGCCTCGTGAACGCCCGCCTTCGTTGGGAACTCGGAGGTCCAAGGAACTGACTTGATCTGACGCCCGGTTCGTTGATGTCCCGCGTGCAGCCGCTTGATCCGCGTCTTCTGTGATTCCATCTCTCCGTGCCGTCGTCGTAGGCCCTGGCGTACGTGATGTGTGTCATGTGAAACCGTTTTCTCCGGCCGAAGCAGGCCCTGGCGTGCAATCGTCCAACGTTCCACTCTTTGGAAAGAGCTCCTGCCCGTAATAATGGCAATTATAGCCTGACGAAAAGAAAAAAAAAATGGCCACGGAGAGAGGATCCCCCCACCCTCGCATCGCACTAGCGCCAAAGTGGAATGGAGTGGAGGAATTTTCTTTCCGCTATAAAAACGGCCACGGACGATGGAATCACAAATCACTCCCAATCGAGTCCCGTGAGCTTTCACCATCACCTCTCTCTCGCTCTCTACTAACCTCTGATTAGTTATCTCTAGTAGCAGTACCTGCCGCCTTGCTTGCTCGCGGCCGAGCTGCCGAGCTGCAGCACACCGGCCGGCCACCACCACCAGCCCACCACGTAACTAAACCCAACGCCGCCGGTCGCCGGCCGCGCGGCCATGGCCATGGCGCTGCCCCTGGGTGGCGGCGACGCGGAGCGGAAGGTGAAGGTGGCCGAGGTGGCGCTGCGTGCGCTCCTGTGCGGGCTGGGCGCGCTGGCGGCGGCGCTGGTGGCCACGGACACCCAGACGCGGACCTTCTTCTCCCTGCAGAAGAAGGCCAGCTACACGGACATGAAGGCCATGGTGTTCCTCGTGGCCGCCACCGCCGCCGCCGCCGGCTACAGCCTGCTGCAGCTGGCGGCGCGCTGCTGCGTCGCCCTGCTGCCGTCGTCCAGCGGAAGCCCCGGCGGAGGCATGGTGCCGGGGCGGGCCCTGGCCTGGTGCGTGTTCTCGTGCGACCAGGCGCTGGCGTACGTGCTCCTGGCCGCCGTCGCCGCCGCGCTGCAGGCCTCCGTCGTCGCCAAGCGCGGCCAGCCGGAGATGCAGTGGATGGCGATCTGCGCACTCTACGGCGCCTTCTGCAGGCAGGCCGGCGCCGGCGTCGCCAGCGCCGTCGCGGCTGGGCTCGCCGCCGCCCTGATCGCCTTCCTCTCCGCATTCAACCTCTTCAGGCTCTACGGCGGCACCAAGAGCTAGCTAGCTGGCTTTAGTACCATTGGCGAGCAGAGGCCGTGCTTCCATCTCTTGCAAACACCGCCGTAGCGTAGAGTAGAGAGGATGGAGAGACAATTGAGGTGCACACAAAGCTTTGCTTGACATTCTGCATCGATCGGTGTTGCTGCTAATTATACATATATATGTTGTTTCATGTGAAAGCATCGCTGTACCCACTACACAATAAACAGCTTAAACACGCACGTTGTATGTTCATGAATGAATCTGTAGGATCGGAGAGTTGCAACGAAGCTTTTCGAAAGAAAAAAAAGGAGAGTTGCAACAAAGAACTTGCATTCTGATCGATTTCCTTCAGCCTGACGAACAGGCAGATACTGACGACAGTGTCACTGCACTGGGAAGAAAGAAACGCCCATGCATGTAGTCTGCAGATGTAGGTTGACCGAACCTTTTTTGCGTTGCACATTGCAGCATTGCCGTCGTCGGCAGTCGGCACGATGCACGCACCACGGAGCTAGTGGCACGCAATTTGAAGCGAAGATCACGGGCGGCGAGGCAGCTGCATGCGCCTGCGCGGGCCACGCCACGCGTTGTGGTGCAAGTTCCTTGGCGTGCGGTGCGCTGGTCCGTTTTTTCCTTTTCTTAAAGGTAGCGCACACGCGTGCAGCAAATCCACTTCGGACATCATCAGTCTGGTGCAATTAATCAAGCGCTTTCTTTTTCTTCTTCGACTGATCTGGAGAAAGAAAAGGGGTCATGTTAGTCAGCTATATCCTGATGATCAATCCAGCTTTGCTTGATTACGCATCGTTATCGCGAGGATTCATGGTTTCACCGTCCAGAGTTGATTTCGGATTTGACTAACCTTCACGATGGTTTCAGACAAACACTGTGCATTTGGCTGGTCCTTTGCTCATCTCTCGGAGGGACAGAGTACTATATAAAACTCACAAGTTCGTTTACTCCAAGCGAGCAGAAATTTCCCTTCCCAAGGACCTAATAAAAGACAACAAATTTAACTAAATTCATACAAAATAGTGTCAACTTTTGTATCTTTAAATATGCTTATTTAGAAATTATATTTTACAATAAATTTAATGATATTTATTGCATGTCACAAATATTAGTATTTTCAAAAACATATTTAGTCAAACTTAGGATTGTTTGACTTCTCGAGAAACTAGATTTATATTCTTTTTTTATGGAGGGGATACAACAAATTCATATTGCGGCTTATATTATCATAAAAGCCAATACTCTCAGCCATGTTGGGTTGGGTGGCTTAGCCTTATCCGATCAGTTTTTGCTTCAATTCTAACATTATTTTCAAAAAAAAAAATCTAGCCAAAATCACAGCAACCATTTGTATTTTTTTGGTGGCAAGGTGTTCGAAAGGATCGGAACATAAAACTCATCTACTACAGATCTTGGGAGTCCATTTCTAAGCCTAAGAAGGAAGGAGGCCTAGGCATAAGAAATCCCATTATTATTCCCACGCTTTTCTTTATGGACAGCTGCCACTTACATTCCCAAATCAACTTTTTGGAGTTGCATTCTTAGCATTAGACATCATCTTGAATAAAATGTCACCATCCAATTCATAGATGGCGCACACCTCTATGGAACCAGCTTTGTAGTCCTTTTTTTGGAGGCGGATGCACGAAACGTTAAATCTTGAGCAAATACTTTACCAAATGCTTGATAAAGTTCCGATTTGAGGAGGCCTAATACAAAAACTTGGGATGCTAAAAAAATGTAACCTTACTGGGGAAACATTCTTGGGATGTCCTTTTGCATACATATATCATTGCAGACACAACACCAGAGGTATTTTGTGCTGGAAGCTAACCTCTAATGGACAATGTACTTCTAAAGGTGATGCTAGCAATCGAGGAGAGAACAAGGAATTCACCACCCACTAATATTCCTATGCAGGTTGTGGAGAACCTTCATCGAGTATTGGCTGACCAAGAAATTCAACTACGCGTTAAAACTTTTGCTTAGAGACTACTTAGTCTAGCTCTAGGAGCATGATTCATCAATTAATTCTGAACATTAAAGAAACTTGCTCCCATCGTGCATGCGCAGAAAATGAGACTCACTTTGTTGTTCTAGTGCAGTTATGTTAGGATAGTGTGGTTTGGATCGGCGATAGGACTTTGACTTCATGCTTTGCCATGTACAGGCCATGGACTTCACATGTATATTGCAATAATCTTAAACAAAGGACCTCTCCAGACAATGCATGTCTTGCTTTCTCTATGATATGGTGCCTTTACAAATGCAGAAATGATCACAAGTTAAACAACATTCGTTGGTCGCATGCAAGAGCGTTCCATGAACCCAAAGTCATAGATGGCTTACAACCTAGCAATGGAAGAAGGGATACCTTCGACCAATCTTGTAACACACCCTAACCAACAACATCCAACTTTGCAAGGTATAATTTCTAGGAACTATTCCACTATGGGTACATGATGGCCCTAGTGTGTTCAATGATGCCTCTGTATGCGTGCAATAACCACTAAAATCATAACCAACCCGTCATAGGAGTATTCGTCCTCATTACATCCCCATAGTGTCTCCTTTGAATTTTTTTTAGGCTACTACTCCATGCATCATACTCCCTCCGTCCCTAAATATCTGTCGTTTTCGTTTTCCGAGAAACAACTTTGACTAAATATATATTAAAAAATATTAATATTTATGATACATAGTTAGTATCATTGGATAGATATTTGAATCTAGTTTTCTAATAAATTTATTTAGAGATTGAAATGTTGCACGTATTTTCTATAAATCGAATCAAAGTTATCGCCACGTAAATCGTGACGACCAATATTTAGAGACAGAGGGAGTACAATTGTTGGAAAGCAGAAGCTTAGGCATTGCTTGTGGGAGGCAAAGCTAGCTGTGGCAGAACTTACAGTTGGTGATCTTTCTCATTGACAACGAAGTATTGTATGACGGATAAAAGATTATTGCTTCTTGATCCTGATCATTAATCGTTGCCACCAATTCTCGCTAAATTTATCGAAATCACTATGAATGCGGCACTTAATCATCAAATCAAGATTAGAACGGACACAAACAAGATAGATGTCAGATGGGATCGGGCAAGACATGCAACAATTCCAAACTCCCAAGGGCGAAGGTAGCTTGTGGCTAGGGGGTGCAAATGCACCACCCAAAAACTGCAAAAACAGTGTATTCGATTAAATTTTCTTGCACTACCCTCTAATTTACTTTAGCTTCGCCACCGCAAACTCCGATCTTTAGCGTATGTATTGTGCAAAGGGGCAAAGGCAAAGACAGTGCATTCGAAGCACGAATCTCGATCGAAAACGAACGGCCCCTGTTCCGAGTGGACGAGTCGGGTGTGCCACCCAATAGTATCGCGCCAGGTCAGCCCGACCACGTCCTAAAGCGGCATGTGCCTGTTATAAGAGGGAACCTTGCATAAAACCCCTCGCGTTAGCCCCCATATCGCGCACATCTCCCCTGCTCCTCGTTCCTGTCCGACCCGACCCGCTTGCGCCGCGCCTCGCCTCGCGCAGTCGACGCCGCCTCCGTCCCCGTCTCCGGTGAGATCACCTCCTGCGGCACGCGGATATGGTAAGAGGGACCGGAACCTTACCTATCTTTCTTCCCTCGGGGGATCTTAGATTTTGCGCAGAACTTATGATTTCTCTTCCCCTTTTGTGATTTTGGAATGTTGTGTGTGTGTACATATGCGTATGATGGTTCCGTTGTTGTCCGATTTGGTTGTGCGCGGGCCTGATTTGATGGAGTCTCATGTGATTTGCGTCCCTATTTTGGGGATTTTCAATCGCAATTTGATGGATCGGTGCGGATCCCTGCTTAATTCGACTGCGAGTGTGGCTGTGTGGGTATTCGATTACATGTTTAGTGTCCCGCCATCGGCTTGGCTGGCGACTGGGGAAGACATCAATCCATAGGAATGGCGATCCAGGGGTGGGGTCGATTCTCTTCCAATCCACCTTGGGGATGAATCAATGTCACTGCTAACCCCATTTTTTGTGGGGGAGATCTCATAAATGATATGGTGCCATGCTTGATATTTGAAATTCAGTGAATGCCGCTGCTGGTTCTTTTTACCTGTCAACTTTGTAAAACTGGAAAAATGATAATATCATAGATTCCCCCTGTCGCAAATAGTGAAATGGTCATGCAACTGGGCATATATTGAATGTAAAATTTAAATATGAATATTTGACCTATATATAGACAATTAAACTCAAGGAATAGGAAATACTATGGATTCGTTGCATGTGCTGTGGTATTTTAATTGCAGGTTTTCAATTCTATGACTAGAATGTCTGCCTCTTTAAGCCTTTGAAAATTTTCATGCAATGCCATTTACTCATTTAGTGTAATTATCTGGTACCTTACAATGGAGTTAGAAGCTTGGAGTTATTCCACACTGTTTTTTAAGACTTGTTCATAAGAACAAATATTAGTTATTATTATTTTTATAAGCACGGTTCTGGAAATTCTCTCAGTATTTAAGTAGGTTATTTTCCTGTTTGGTCTCCATGGTTAGTCACAGTGATCTTGACCTAAGCTGATGGCAAATCATTATCCTCCATAGTGTTTGTTATTGTCTCTGTTTAGAATTTGTGGCTACTGTTTCTGGCTACTGAACTTCCATAATTTGAGTTTGTTTTGTTTATCTTTATGTAGACAGCTTTTAGATATTGAGAGGTGAAGTAGGCCATTCTGTAAGGATAGAGGGAATTGATATTATTCATTGTGTTAATCATTTTTCTGGTGTCTGGTACCAAATGCACATGGTAGTACCCTGAAAGTGAATATAGTAAAACAGATTTTACATCATTTAAGTGTTCCCTTTTCTCTTACCTGGCTAACCCTTAAGTGAGTCAGAATGTCACTATATTTTTATTTTTATAGCAGAACAGGTTTAAAATCTTCTATTTTGATAACAAAGAATAAAAAAAGTTAAGCTGTAGATGTAGTATCTGCTTGTGTTCATCTCTATC